GTTGCTTTTGTATATACTTTAGACTTTTGAAGTCGATAATATTTTAATTAGTTATTATGTAAGAGAAAACAAAGACTTGAGAACAGAATTTGTGGATTAAAACCAATCGTAGTTTCACTTGAAATCTGCGATTGATTTATTAATTTGAAATTATGAAACTTCAAGCGCAGTTGGCCTTGGACCAATTGAACGACAACATCCTGCAGTACATGAGGAGTCTGAAAATTTGATCGAATCAATTAATTCTGCCACAAAAACTGTTTCATTTCTTCGACGAATTTTAATGTGTTTCCTTTAACCGTTTAATTATCGAAACTTTACCAAAAAAAAAAAGAAAATATTTTTGAGGCAAATATTTGAAGAGTTCCATTCGGGTTTGCAGCGCAAAGTTTGCAATTTTTGAGTTGCTTTTGTATATACTTTAGACTTTTGAAGTCGATAATATTTTAATTAGTTATTATGTAAGAGAAAACAAAGACTTGAGAACAAAATTTGTGGATTAAAACCAATCGTAGTTTCACTTGAAATCTGCGAGTTTGTAATTATTAGTGAGAAGAAATGGATCACGATTGATTAATTCTGTGATATGTGTTTTGTTAAAATCGTGTATACTTTTGAATGCTAATGCTAATGCTAATAATAAGTTTGTAAGCGATAAAGTGCAGAATGCGCTCGACCCACTGATCCACTGCACTCTCCTGAGGCGCGCACATCTCGTCGTCAAATGATTATTTATGTAAGATCTTGTGCGCGCGGAATTTTTGATGAGCCGTTAAGTTCTTAATTAGCGAACGAGCCGCTCGTAAATCGTGCTCCACGCTAAATCACGCGCTGCGATAGTTATGAAAGGATGCATACTAACGGCTCTTTCGTATAATGGTAATAAATGCCTTCGAAGCGAGCATTTTTAAGGGCCGCCTCATGCGCGCATTCCATCATCATCATCTGAAGATTCGTTAAACGGTGAATTCCAATTTTTAATCCATTTCTAGGGCACAGCTCATCGCAATTCGCAAGATTAATACGCTTTAAACCCGGCGCATCCACAACATTCAATCATAATTACACAATAATTGCAACGAAAAATTAAGATTTTATACACAATTTATTATAATTAAAAGTTGATATTTTTATTTAATTTCATCGAATTGATCTAAAACTAATCAATATTACCGTAAATAAACTAAATTCCAGCAAAAATCTTTTTTTTTTTCTTATTTAGTTCTAATCTGATTAACATTTATGCAAAGTATGTCCACTACTAACATAGTAATCGAACGAACGACCCAACATTCCTCAATTATAAAGGTAACGGATTCCGTTTTTTTCTTCTCTCAATTTATTTTTCTTGCATTTTCATCATCATCATCTGCCTCGACATCTTCATGCCGCTTCATGATTGATGATCCAATTTCGTAACTCCGCTCCGATTATAATGCAATCAATTAAACGTAATTAATTGCAACGTCACGATCAATCTAGGCTGTTGATTCTGATCTTTATTTGTTTTTTTTTAATTAATTTAATTGTTTTCGCATCAAGCAAGCTGGTTGTCCGTGGTTACCAAATAAACAACGCGTCGAGAATATGTCTTCTTCGCGTCGTGTCGTGTCGTTATTATAATTATAGTGTAATTTGTGAGTTGATGAATATAATAGTAATATTCTGCGTTTTACTCTGTTAATAAGGTAAGACGATATTTATTTATGCGTTGAATAATTTCGCATCGCGGAAACGATTGAACGGTTATTTTTGTGCATACAATTTGATTGAAGATTAACGTCATTTGCATTTGTTTGTAATTAGCGCTGATGCCAAGTTTATAATTACACTGTTTTTTTTGTTGTTGTTGTTGTTATTGAAATTGTAGACTTGGCAACAACGATAAATTAATCATTAGTTATTTTATTAATGAAATCAAATTAGTAAATTTATTTACAAAATTACACATGTATTTTATGTATTTCTATTATATTCTTATAAAACATGTATTTTTTAAAAAAATCACATGAAACTTTGTTTTTAGTAAAATTTAGTATTTTTTTATTTATTTCAAAGGCAACTTGTCCAAATTTTTTATAAACGAAATAATTCCATTCTTTGAATACTGTCCATATTGTTGTATGGATATTTTATAATATTTGTAACAGATTCTTCTCCAAAAATTTATAAATTTTGTAATATTTAAACCACATTATTTTTTAAATCTATCTTTTGAATGTTTTACTCTACGAAATTCTTATGCAAATTAAAAATTTGTTTAATATTTTGATGCACACAATTCTGTTCATATTAGAAATGATCCATTTTAATTACAATTTTATCACAAATTTTCGATTCTTTGAAAATTGTTTTAATTTTTCAGAAATCATTTTTTGAGTTGGTCTTTTGAAATTTTATTTAAATCTTTGTCCAATTTTTCGACCAATTGCAATTTCTTTTTGTTATAATATTTAAACATAGAAAATATTAACAATTTATTTCATATACTTCTAAATATTTCATTATTTCATTCAATTCAACTTCTGATAATGTAATTTTACAAGAAATCTGTTAAATATTTGAAATACATAAAATCATTTGGTCTATGTTTAAAAACATCAGTTTTACTCTAAATTATCATAAAATGTGATTGTTTTTATTTTGTTTTTGCATTCCTTAAATAATGCCCTATTTTTTCGGAATTTTGAGAATTGTAAATTTAGAAAAATTTTACAAATTGATTATATTTGCTGGAAACCGTCTGATTTTATTTCATATCATTTTCTAAGTGCCAATAATTAATTATTTTATATGTTTATTGCTTTAGATTTTAACTAAATTGATTTGTTTTGATCAAATTTAAAGCTTTAATTATTATAATTTTTGTAATAGTTTACATAATTTATGTTAATAAAAGCTTTTAATTTGTAGCTTTAATTATTTTTTGAGAAACGTACGTTGGAAACGATCCATTATCAATTTTGCCATTTGCAAATAATCAATTCAGAAAGCATCGCACCATTCAAGTAATACCGTACATCGTCACTTATACGGCTCTCTATAGTTTTCGAACGTCTGGTTATAAACAGCGAAAGGATTGCTTGCATAATCCTTTATCTGTTTTGTTGCCTCTGCCAACGCTCACTTCCCGCAACGCGCCGATATTATCTGCACATTCTGCTGCACCATTATTATTACTGCTGCAGCAGCAGTCTGCACATATTTGGCATCTGCATTCTCCTCGAAAATATTAATAACGGACGAAATAACGCCACCCATTTGTCTAGTTTGCATATATTGTATATTTGCATTGATCACTGTATGATTTTACAGTGTTCTTCAACCTGTGATCCGAAAACATTTTCTAATTGGATTAACATTTTTGAAGAATGCTACAAGCAAATTATTTGGCAAGTTACGTGTAATATTTATGATATGCAAGTACACTTGGTTTTCTTTTTATGCGGTAGATATGTTCCACAGGAAAACGCATAAAAATAAATCGCACAAAAAAGGACTAGACACACGTATAAATTATTTTTTTTTAAAACCGCATAAAACTAAATCAATGAGTTAGAATATACCGAAAATCGCATAAAAAAGGGTTTATTAAATTTTAGAAAAATAATTAGTTTTACTATATTCTTTCTGAAATGTTTATTCATAATTTTATAAATACGTTAACAATCATAGATAAGTTTATTAAATTTCAGAAAAATATAATCTTAACATATTCCTTCTAAATTTATACGGAAAAATTTTACAAAAAAAAAATACAGAAAATTTTGTATGAAAGTTAATCTTTCTTCACATTTCTTTTTCTTTAGAATTATATGAGTTATATGAGAGTGTTCGGCATAATTAGTGAACTGGTTCGAAATCACTTTCATCACTAGAAGAGATAGTCAGCATATTAGATCTATGTCCTGAAGATAATGATTCTTCACAAGTAAAATTAGTCTCAACTTTGCATGTTGATCTTTTGCGATGTCTTTGCTATATTTTTTTTGTACAATTCCTGATATCCAGAAATGCAATTCTGAAGCTCGCGTTGAAACTTGAATGCTCGTTCAGAATTATCATCTTTTTCGATGAAATGGTTTGTCAATTTGTGTCAAAATGGCTTAAAATAGTTGTGCTTCTTGAAATAAAAACCGCATAACTTCAAAACCGCATAAAAAGAGGACCGAGTGTAATAGATTTTGATAGGAAACGCCTTCATTTTTGTGCCAATTTGTCGATTGGTTTAGATTTGAAGAAAAGAAGATTTCGTGCGTTAACAAAAAAATGTTTAGTGATGCGGCATCAATGGTTTTTTTGCGATCAGATCGTTAGAACCAATAGAATTGTTAAGAACGTGAAGAACCGGGTGTTGCCGATCCCTCCTTTCGTGTTTAGTGATATGATTTGCAGCTGCAACTGCCGATTCTTATCGCGACGCGTAGATACGCAAAAACGTTGTCGTATGGAAATCGTCCAAATTTTTATTACTTTCTTATCTTTCTATTTCCATTTCGTGGTCCAATAAGAATTGTTTGAACGTTCATTGCAGCTGTGATTCGCTGTGAAAAATGATTCCATGTCAAATGATTTTTTTTTAAACTTTAATAAAATAATAATAATATATACAATTTCCTTCTGATCATCGAGTATTTTCTAGAATTGACTTGTCAAGTTACGAGTATTTAATACACTTCTATTTGATTAAAGTTTACTAATATTTTAGTCGGGTTGAAAAACACTGATTTACATAATACTTGTAACAGATTCTTCTCTTTATACATTTTGTAATATTTAATCTGCATTATTTTTTTTTAAATCTATCTTTTGAATCTTTGACTCAACGTAATTCTTATGCAAATTTAAAATTTCTTTAATATTTTAAATGCACACAACATTGACACAATTTTGTTCAATTTTAAGAAATCTTAAATTGAAAATTGTTTACATAAGCTTTGTTAAAAATTTGGAATACATTTGTTAAAAATAATAATATATACAATTTCCTTCTGATCATCAAGTATTTTCTACAAGTGACTTGTCAAGTTACGAGTATTTAATACTCGAAATATATATATAATTAGTATGTTTACTATTTGATTAAAGTTTACTAATATTTGAGTCGGTCTGCGGGTGTAAAAAAGGTTGAAGAACACTGATTTACATAATACTTGTAACAGATTCTTCTCTTTATACATTTTGTAATATTTAATCCGCATTATTTTTTTTTAAATCTATCTTTTGAATCTTTGATTCAACGTAATTCTTATGCAAATTTAAAATTTCTTTAATATTTTAAATGCACACAACATTGACACGATTTTGATCAATTTTAAGAAAACTTAAATTGAAAATTGTTTACATAAGATTTGTTAAAAATTTGCAATACATTTGTTAAAAATAATAATATATACAATTTCCTTCTGATCATCGAGTATTTTCTAGAATTGACTTGTCAAGTTACGATTATTTAATACACTACTATTTGATTAAAGTTTACTAATGTTTTAGTCGGTTTTCGGGTGTAAAAAAGGTTAAAAACACTGATTTACATAATACTTGTAACAGATTCTTCTCTTTATACATTTTGTAATATTTAATCCGCATAATTTTTTTTTGAATCTATCTTTTGAATCTTTGACTCAACGTAATTCTTATGCAAATTTAAAATTTCTTTAATATTTTAAATGCACACAACATTGACACAGTTTTGATCAATTTTAAGAAAACTTAAATTGAAAATTGTTTACATAAGATTTGTTAAAAATTTGGAATACATTTGGTAAAAATAATAATATATACAATTTCCTTCGAGTATTTTCTAGAATTGACTTGTCAAGTTACGAGTATTTAATACACGAAATATATATATAATTAGTATGTTTACTATTTGATTAAAGTTTACTAATATTTTAGTCGGTTTGCAAGTGTAAAAAAGGTTGAAGAACACTGATTTACATAACACTTGTAACAGATTCTTCTCTTTATACATTTTGTAATATTTAATCCGCATTATTTTTTATTAAATTTATCTTTTGAATCTTTGACTCAACGTAATTCTTATGCAAATTTAAAATTTCTTTAATATTTTAAATGCACACAACATTGACACAATTTTGTTCAATTTTAAGAAAACTTAAATTGAAAATTGTTTACATAAGATTTGTTAATAATTTGGAATACATTTGGTAAAAATAATAATATGTATAATTTCCTTCTGATCATCGAGTATTTTCTACAAGTGACTTGTTAAGTTACGAGTATTTAATACACGAAATATATATATAATTAATATGTTTACTATTTGATTAAAGTTTACTAATATTTGAGTCGGTCTGCGGGTGTAAAAAGGTTGAAGAACACTGATTTACATAATACTTGTAACAGATTCTTCTCTTTATAAATTTTGTAATATTTAATCCGCATTATTTTTTTTTAAATCTATCTTTTGAATCTTTGACTCAACGTAATTCTTATGCAAATTTAAAATTTCTTTAATATTTTAAATGCACACAACATTGACACAATTTTGATCAATTTTAAGAAAACTTAAATTCAAAATTGTTTACATAAGATTTGTTAAAAATATACAATTTCCTTCTGATCATCGAGTATTTTCTACAAGTGACTTGTCAAGTTACGAGTATTTAATACACTACTATTTGATTAAAGTTTACTAATATTTTAGTCGGTTTACAGGTGTAAAAAGGTTGAAGAACACTGATTTACACCACATCTTCCTTTCATTCTTTTCCATTCCCAATAATTATTCTTCGGCAAATCTTATATAAATCCATCCATCGGATTAATGAAAGAAATCCTTTCGCCTCATCCAATACAAATGCAAATGCATTGCGGCAACGTTTATAATGCATTTGTTGCTTGCCCATTATCTAATTACATCTAACCGTTGTTCGAATCGTATCTTTCTCTCGCTCTTTCTCTCTCTCTTTCAATATTGATGTCGTTGCATCTTGAATAATTTAACTGGCATTGGAATTAGTAGCTGAAACTGATCACAGTTACGTTTTATTCGATTGCATAAATTATTCTATAATAATGTCCGTCGTACGGATATGCAGGAAACGTACCAAATTAATTGACGGACGAAAAGAAGGTACAAAAAAAAACGAAGGAGATAACAGTTACTTTACATATACATCCAGTTTATTTAAATTCCATGCAAAGTTTGTCTTGTCGATTTGCTTTGAAAACAAATAAACAAAAAAAACAAAAAAACAAGTTTGTTATTGTTTTTAAATTGCGCAACTGTAAATTCGTGTCGGAAACGGTTCTGCTATGTAAATGCGAGGTTCGGAATTTGGATTCGGGTATTTGTTACAGTTAGAAATGCTCTTTTCAAATGTCTTTATTAAAAAATAAATAAAGCTTAAACAGTAAAATACAAATACGTATATAAATGATCAATTGCATACTATACCGGGTGTTGGGGCTTTGGGCGACACCGAACGCGTCGTGTATTGAAGCGTTCGGGGTCGCGTTCCAACACCTTGTATATTCTTATATTCGTGGATATGCAATAGCCTAAACCTAAATCACTCTAGATAGGGGATGGGAGATGGGGATGGGAGTTGTTGTTGAATCACTTTTAACGTGTGCTGGTGAAGAGGCCTAGCGCCGCCTCTCGTTAACGATGTCGACGTCGGCGATCGTGCTGCAACTCGCCGTCGACATCTCCGAGCTAATCGAGACATCATCTCCGTCCTCTCTCATCTTCCTCATGTTCCACTTGACGATGATCGCTATGAAGCCGGCTATCACCGCCACCATCAGGATGGCTATGATTGCGATCGGAACGATGTTGGAGTCTTCCTTTTCCCGCTTATCCTGCTCCTGATCCACTGTAAAATTGAAACATTGCTTGTTTTAGAGATACACGTAAACAAATGGATGGTAATTGCGCCTCGAAATTGCGTCAATCCTGGATTCCGACGGATGGGTTTTTTTTTTGTTTGTATATGCAGCCGTGGCACGAATAAAGACCTCATTCTCTCTGCTGTTTCGTAACGTGTTGTTGTTGGCCGTTACGTATGAAGAGTATTCAAGTGCGCGCTTCCAATGCAAGAGATCGGTAAAAAAAGAACGATGGAAAACGCGAGGCAAAAGTAAACGCACTTTCTAGGTCAGCGGTTAATAACTTTGTTTTGTATTAATTAGAAGAATCCATATACTTATCGAAAGTGTTTTCTTGATTTACAACTAACTCTTTAATGTATTGTAATGGATTTCATAAAGATAGAATATGTACATTTCTGATGCAAATACTCAAAATTAACTTGCCTAAAGCTTCTGGTTTGATGAGAAGTCTGCCGCGTCGCATGCTCCTTCCCTGTTTACCGGTCTCTTCTACGTTGGCTTGTCCGAAACCTCGTCTGTTGGTTGGAAGATTGATGCCGGCTCGGACTGTTAAGGTTTCCGGTTGATAGGTACAAAGCACCAAGAACCTCCTAGTGCTGTGAGTCAAAATGGGAAGGTTCTCTTGGACCAAAACGAAGGTGGCCACGGTCGTGTCGTTGACTTGACTGCCGCACTCTTCGTGATTGATCCTCAAGGTGTACGTATCTCTTTGACTGTGGGGTTCACCGTCCACGGCGCATCTCTCACCATCAGCTGCCTCCACGGTAATCTTTCCTCCAAAGTGCGGACCAGTCGATACCTCAATCTCGCTAGCATGAGGAAGGCATTGCGTAGCTTTAGCAGAGACTGCATCAAAGAAATACGAAATTCAATTATCTAATTTTTTCCAATTGGTGATTTGCAAACTTACATCCTTTCGTAGGGATCACAATGACGTTCAAGTTCTTGTCATCTCCATCGGCTCGATCCTCCCTGTTTCCCAACTCCTTGTTCTTCACCTCGAACGAATAAGTGGTGGCCATCCTCAATCCACCGATGTCTGCGTTGTACGTGCGGAAATCCTCCAAATCGTTATCTTCCGCTTTCTCGACGATCTGCGTCTTGCAGCGTTGCGGACCCCAACTTTGCACCTCGCAGTATCTCACTTGAAAACCATCTCCTCCAACCTTCGAATCGGTTTCCCAATGCAACCTCACCTTCCTGTAATCCGGCTCTCCGACGAGGTTCTTAACATCTGGGAAAAAGTTAAACAAAATTAAAATAAATCAAGTTTTATTACTTCGCTTTTCAGAGATCTTCTCACACGGCGTCCGCTTCATTAGCGAACGTATTAAGTAATAATTATAATTGCCTCCGCGGGATTTTCTTCTACTTCTTCTGTTCACCAGTACACAGTTTTTTTTTAGTATATATTGAAGCGTTGTATCCCAGACCACAAAACCCGAGTTTATTACCTGTAATTTAATGAAATTACGTTCTAAATACGCAGAACGGGTGAAAAATAATGACCTGGAACCGTTTTATTATGTCTACGTCGAAGGTCGGATAAGCTTTGCCGTTTCAAAATTCGTTCTCTTTGTCTAGAAACGTTGTTGAAACTCTAGCAAAACATTAAATATTCATGAAATTTATTTAAAAATTAAGTTAGGACAAATAATTACGAAAGTTGCTAAATTTGAAAAATGTAATTGAATATTTAATTCCAATAAAAAGATATTCTTCATGGATTTTGGTCAAATTTTGTAGTTTGATTAAATATTCAATCAATTATAGATGGTTTGAATTATGTTAAGTTTGAGAATAATTGTAAATGAACTATTCAATTTTGTATCAAAAATGCTTTTCTTCGTTTTCTATGATTCCCATTATAAATAAGATGCAATACAAGAAGTATCATTTATGAAGATTTACCATTCGATATGTATTCAAATCTGATTTAGCAATCAAAAATGCTTTTCGTCTTGGCTATGATTCCCATTAGAAATAGACTGGATTACAAGAAGTATCATTGATGGAAATACATTCCGGTTTAGCTGTTTCTTCCTTCAAAGCAGATGGCCGTTTCGATGGACAGAAAATTTGGTTTGGGAATGAAAAGAAAAAAGTGGATCAAGAGCAAAGTATTGTTCCGCACGCCCGTTCATCTCCATATGCCGTGCCATTCGAAAAAAACGGGTTTTCCGCTTTTGTCCCGCATTGAAAAGTGCACATGCACAACAGTCAGGCAGGCAGACAGACAGACAACACGCTTTTTGCATATTGAAGACAAATCGTGACTCGGATTTTCTCTCTTTCGCCATCTGGACACGAGATGATGTCTCAATTTCAAATCAGTAAAGGTCGTTTCAATAACGACGTCGCATATTTCCAGTTCATCCACAATGCATGCATAATCCATTCTGTTGTCGCTCGTGATGTTTTATTGTTGTTGTTGTTGTTTTTGGTACGTTCGTAGCGGAAATCCTGCAAACTGTATCGTCCAGTCGCGATCGGCATTGGAAACGTTTTTTTTTTTTTATTATCCCCGAAACGGAGAAATCGGGGCACCACTTCACGCTTCGCAATTCTCATCCATTGCGAGATCCAATTTCAAAACTTAAATTGGATTTATTATTTTAGAGCGAAAAATGGATTATTTGTCTTCTTTCCATTTCCATTCATCATCTACCATCAAAGAGGCAGGCTAATGCATTTTAAATTACCCGCAAAAACGAATTTGTCTCAACTCACTTGTTGTAAACATCGCAAATTGAGAAGAAGCAACAATTTTTATTTTCGTTCACTTATAAAATGTTAAAATTATTTTTTTTATCAAATTAACAATATAATAATGTATTACTTTATAAGATAAATCTGAATGAGTTAAAGAATGTGTTGAATCAAGTCATCTTTGAGTTTGTTCTTTATTTATTTATATTTTGTTTTCTTTCGTTTGTTTCCAGAGGTTACGCAACCGAGACTTGAACTTGCGGTGCTGCTGCTGTTGTAGTAAGTAGTAGTAGTAGTAGCCTCGATCTTGGCATTCAAAGTGCGTTCGTGGAATTCTTAATTTCAGGCTGTTAACTGTCTCGTCTTTGTTCCACGTTTTCATCTCTTTCTCTCTTTCTCTTTCTTTTCATCGTAGCAGACATTAAATAAAACGATAGCAATCCACGCCACGCTACGTGCTTCTTCTATTAATTTTATGGAAGCCACTAGCTTGAAGATACTTTGTAGTTTGTGCTAGTTGACTTATTAGTTTGATTAATATTTCTCTGGAGCAAGTTTAACAAACTTTGCAACGCTTTGTTTTCGTCCGTGGATAAAGTTATTCGCAGCGATCGATTAAAGAAAACAATGATGAAGATGATGATGATGTTGGAGGAATTCTCTACTCTTCTCTTCCCATTTCGGCTTTGCGCGCTTCCGCAGGTTCTCTGCTTCCTAGGTTTTCGCATCCACAATCGGCAATTAATTGAAACAAACAATGGACGACGATTGCTTTGTTTCTTCCTCTTTCTTTTGTCTACTCCATATACGGATTTCTTCGCATTTGTTTCCGTATTAGTTCCTCTCCTTTACGGTTTCTCTCTTGTATGTAAACGACAGTCGACGGCGTTACGGAACGCCGAATAAAACAAATCGAAATTTCATTCATTTACACAAACCATAAAGAATTGCAATTTTCAACAAATTTCTTATACTTTTTTTTTTATTTAAACAGTTTCAATTTAATTCAATTAAAATTACACAAAAGTGAGAATCTTTAAATAAGTAAAATTAATGTAATTTTGTTTCAATTCACCACTTTTGTACTTAAAGTCTTGTTAAATTTTAATTAATTACTATCAACTTAATAATAATAAGTTCACCTCGTTTATGTAAGAAAAGTATATTACTTTTATTTAAAAATTTAATTTTTCTTTACTTCTCAAAACGAACTTTTTTCATATTCTTTAGGATCAATTTAGATAATAATTATAAGATTTTCTTATAGAAATTATTAAAATTTAATTTATTACAAAAAGGTAAGATTACAGATGATGGCTCCATCTAGTCTTTAAAATGTGAATCGTTTAATAATGAAAACAATTCAATTGGATTTAAATTAAAATTTGATTTATATTAAAAAATATTAATCGAAAATTGCTAAAAAGACTTTTATAGTTATAATTTGAAGTATTATTATATTATGAATACAAAATACAGCAATACCTCGCATAGTGCGGATTGTATAAGTGCGGATTCATTATTGAAAATTTCAAAACTAAATTTTTAATTCAGCAAAATTAATTCTAAATAATTTCTCCACAATTCATTTTTTGTATATAATTTATCGTTTTTCCTCTCTCTTGACTGTATAAAGTTTCTTTCAGTGGAGGTTTTAAAGTCCTCGATTAGTCGAGTTTCAAACAGTACGGGATATTGGCTTAATGGAGTTAGTAATTGAAATCTCTGAATCATCGATAGAAGTGTGCATTCAATCATTTCTTATTTTAACTTCTAGGAATTAATCTTAAAAGGTTAATTAATATTATGAACAATTATGCAAAATTTACAGAAAAAAAAATAAAAAAATCACTTTCAAATTAAAAAATATAAAATTTAAGTTGTTTATTAACATAAAATAGTGAATAAATTTATAAAATCATTAATAAAATAATAATTTAGTAGACTAAATGCAATTTGTTGCTGTAATAAATAAATAAATAAATTAGAGAAAACAAATATTTTTTTTTTCTGAATGCAAAATTTGTAATAATTGTTATGTAGAGAGGATGAAGGTTAAAAGCGTTTTGTTGCAGTGAATTTACATTTATTAAAAACACATTTGTCCATTTCTATTTTTGTTGTTGTTGCTGCTTGAAACTCCTTCCTTTGTGGAAATATAATTGAATTACAGTTGCGCTATTTCTTTGGCAATTTGTCGGTCGTGAAACAGCTTGGTTTAGATTTGTTAAGACTATTTTTTTGAAGTTGATGATGATGATGAATCATGCAATATAATTATATTAAATCGTAGTTTCAAAAAAAAAAATAATGATTCACTCAGTTTAGTCTACTTATAAATCTCTAAATAAAGAAGAAAGAAAAAGTAAATTGCTTTGTTGAAAATAATGAGAGTTTTTTTTTGTTGTTGTTGTCAGACTTTCTATTCTTTTCACTACAAAATTTGTTGAATTTCTAAATAATTAGTTTAGACAATTATAGTTTATTCAATTATATTTTTTCTTTATTATTAATTTATTGCAAATTATTTATAATAATTACGTGTACATATTGAAGTGAATTTTACTGTGTAGACGTGTGCACTTGGTGAATTTAATTTGCGTCGAGTGGGATGTGGCAAAAGCAAAACAAATGAAGAAAAATAAAAAAGTGGAGAGAATCAAGATCAACGTACCTGCAGAATTGGACGAGGTGAGAACGGAGCTGCACAGACACGTTAACAGGACGAATTTGTACATGGTCGGAAGCGACATGTGAATAAATGTTTTTCAAACAAACAAAAAAAAACCTCAACAAGATGAAATAGTAACAATAACTGGAAACGCGATCTATAATTGTATCATGTTCAAATTGGTGGATGATGCTAATGCAGCGGTTACGTAACGTGTGTGTGTATATTGTTTTGATACCGGTGTGGTAAGTCGCACTGCTGGCTGGGAACCTGCTGGTACCAATATATAGTTGTCAGTTGTCGCCTCGGACAGAACCACCTCTACCATCAAAAGAGGAGAACCGCACGCACCGACCAGACGTTGCCTTTCGACTGATTGGAAGAACAAGAACCACCACCACCAGAGCAACCATCACCAACAACACCGGCACTGGCAAAGAAAACAACAACAACAACAGCAACAACGAGAGCAAGAACAACAGCTGAGAGTCTTCGCCGTTGCTGGTACCATTGGGTGTACACACGAACAAGGAATACAGGGTCGATGCTCCTCAAGATCTTTCACGTTATTACCGACGGCTCGCAGTGCACACACGTACGCTCCAAGTACTTTTTTTTTTGTCTTCTCATTGTTTTTTTTTTGGAGGATTTTACACATGCAAGCAGCCGAAAAGTTTTGATTGAAACTTGTGTATTTTTGAAATCATATTTATAATTATGAGTCAACTGTTGGAAGATTGAAGAAGATGATTATAAATGAACTGATTTCAAATTTGTTATTTGTAATTGGAGTAATTATGAGTCAAATTGAAATTGAAGTTTTTTTGTATTTGTCGAATTGTTGTTGAAAGAAGATTAAAAAAAAATGGTGGGACAACTATTAGAAGATTCAAGTTTGGTTCTGGTAATTCCTGTATTTTTTTTAAAAAGATTGAAGAATATAAAACCAGCTGATGTTAATTATTAGTCAAAGTTTGGTTTTTGTAATTTTGAATTTTTGAAAGAAGATATTGGAGAAATTTGTTATTTGCAATTGGAGTAATTATGAGTCAAATTGAAATTGAAGTTTTTTTTTGTATTTGTCGAATTGTTGTTGAAAGAAGATTAAAAAAAAAATGGTGGGACAACTATTAGAAGATTCAAGTTTGGTTCTGGTAATTCCTGTATTTTTTTTAAGAAGATTGAAGAATATAAAATCAGCTGATGTTAATTATGAGACAAAGTTTGGTTTTTGTAATTTTGAATTTTTGAAAGAAGATATTGGAGAAATTTGTTATTTGTAATTGGAGTAATTATGAGTCAAATTGAAATTCAAGTTTTTTTTTGTATTTGTCGAATTATTGTTGAAAGAAAATTAAAAAAATGGTGAGTCAACTATTAGAAGATTCAAGTTTGGTTCTGGTAATTCCTCTAATTTTTTTTTAAAAGATTGAAGAATATAAAACCAGCTGATGTTAATTATGAGTCAAAGTTTGGTTTTTGTAATTTTGAATTTTTGAAAGCCAACTGTTGGAAGATTGAAAAGAAGACAAAAAATTGTTTGGATGTTGAATATTTACATTCGATACATTATTTTTTTTTCTATTAAGTAATGATGACTCGAAGCAGCAGCAACAGCAGCTGCCTAATGCATATACGAGCCTCGGGGCTTCGTGTTAATTCGTTCGAATGCTAATTACACTCCGTGTACGAATTAAACGTACTAATGTATACGAAGATTACATTACGTACGAAATGTTTAATTTAATGGCAATTGTTATCTTATGCAAAGCAGTCCGAGCGGTTCTTTCAAATTTGTTATTCATTTTATCAAAGATCTTTTGTTTATATGTAAATGTTTTGTATTTAATAAGTAAATTTACTGTAATTCTCACTTTGTTATCTATTTGAATGACATTTTTATATGTAAGACCCAAAATATGTCCTTGTGGAACTCCAATTTTTTGCAAATATTCAGAGGTTACATTTTCAATATTTTATTTTTTTTATAATCTTATTGGAAATTCTCTATTTTCAAAAGATATAAAACTAAATAAAGTAAATGTAATTCTTGAATTAAAATCAAGTCACGTAAAATGAACTACAAATTACGTTTCGTGTAACTTCTTTACAGTGGCGCCAATATTCTTGGTATCAATTTTATAAGAAGGAATACACCATAGCTGAACATGCTTTCAACTTCTGGTCTTTCCTTTCCAACAATACCCATAACCTATATCAAAATGTTGTAGTTTTTTTTTAAATTTTTATCTCATGACATTGACGTGGTTTCTATTTTGTTTCTCTAGGCATCTTTAGAGATCAAGTGATGCCATGGAAAACGCAGACTGAGTCATTTCCAATTTTCCGCAGACCACGAAACAAAAAAAAATGTTAGATTAATAAATAAATTTACTGTAATTCTCAATTTGTTATCTATTTGAATGTCATTTTTATATGTAAGACCCAAAATATGTCCTTGTGGAACTTCAATTTTTTGCAAATATTCATATCTATTAAAGATGTTACATTTTCAATATTTATTTTTTTTTATAATCTTATTGGAAATTCTCTGTTTACAAAAGATATAAAACTAAATAAAGTAAATGTAATTCTTGAATTAAAATCAAGTCACGTAAAATGAACTACAAATTACGTTTCGTGTAACTTCTTGACAGTGGCGCCAACATTCTTGGTATCAATTTTATAAGAAGGAATACACCATAGCTGAACATGCTTTCAACTTCTGGTCTTTCCTTTCCAAGGATACCCATAACCTATATCAAAATGTTGTAGTTTCTTTTTTTTTTAATTTTTATCTCATGACATTGACGTGTTTTCTATTTTGTTTCTCTAGGCATCTTTAGAGATCAAGTGATGCCATGGAAAACGCAGACTGAGTCATTTCCAATTTACGGCAGACCACGAAACAAAAAAAAAATGTTAGATTAATAAATAAATTTACTGTAATTCTCAATTTGTTATCTATTTGAATGACATTTTTATATGTAAGACCCAAAATATTTCCTTGTGGAACTCCATTTATTGCAAATATTCATATCTATTAAAGATGTTACATTTTCAATATTTATTTTTTTTTATAATCTTATTGGAAATTCTCTGTTTATAAAAGATATAAAACTAAATAAAGTTAATGTAATTCTTGAATTGCAATCAAGTCACGTAAAATGAACTACAAATTACGTTTCGTGTAACTTCTTTACAGTGGCGCCAACATTCTTGGTATCAATTTTATGAGAAGGAATACACCATAGCTGAACATGATTTCAACTTCTGGTCTTTCCTTTCCAAGTATACCCATAACCTATATCAAAATGTTGTAGTTTCTTTTTTTTTAAATTTTATCTCATGACATTGACGTGTTTTCTATTTTGTTTCTCTAGGCATCTTTAGAGATCAAGTGATGCCATGGAAAACGCAGACTGAGTCGTTTCCAATTTACCGCAGATCACGAAACAAAAAAAAAATTTTTTCAATGCGAAATTCATGGTCATTAAAGATTTCACGAACCAAATTCGATCCACCTCTCTTGCACATCCCATGCCCACTCGCTCATTCATACTAATTCATGGTTAGTTCAAAAGATAATCTTTAGTTTACAATATTATAGGTCTAGATTTATTGTTATTACGAAATATTACTACTAAAATGATTTAATTGCATAAACTTTATTTTGTTTAGAAATTCACACTATTTACACTAATTTATGATTTATAAAATCATAACTTTCTTTTTATATATTTCTTGTGTGAAATTTCCTTTTTCTTTGTGTTACATTATGTAAAATGTGTACAAATTAAAACGGTAAAATTTTGTATTTATCATTTTTTTTTCCAAATTAACTCAGGCATATGATTATGTATAATATTTAGACAAAAGTCGTAGTTTGTTACAATGATTCATATTTTTGTTTCAATAACTTTTATTTATTAAATAAGAAATTAACTGATTACCTAACATAATAGTACTTGACATAACTTAAATAATTTAGTCAAAATATGATTAGATGCATTTTTAATTACATCCAAATACTTTGTACATTATCCAAATAACGTTTCAATCCGGATTAACTTTCATTCTCATGTAAGTTGTGAAAAACTATTCTACCATCTTTAGTTCATAAACTTTACTATTATATCATTATAATGAATAGTGGTTTATCAGATTAATCTTTACATCAAATTTGCTGCAATTTGCACTCTTACCTTTTGACTTGTAACTGTTGAAGTGGAAGTTATAAATATTGCCTTTGTGAGATATCATCTGCGAGTAATAAGATTAACATAGCTTTAAATATGCAAATGCGGTTTGGCCGAAGAGCGTCAGTTTGTTTTAGAGTCGATTCCGGTTTCTTTCGCCGAGTGAGTGAATCTCTTTTTGTTTTTCTCGTCGCTCGTATTAATGGAAAGAGAGAAAGAAAAAGAAAAAAAAAAGGAAGACGGCAAGAAAAAGGTGGTTTTTACGGGTGCTGAGATATAGATGTGTGAGTACATACAGTGTGAACCGGTAAAAGATAAAAACCGTACAGCTCCGACAAAACCGGATGACGGTGATGATATGGAGCCAATCGCGAAACGGGACGACGGACGAAGAAAGCGAACAAGAAAATGCACTCCGAAATAGAAGAAAGTCCAATGGAAAATAACAAGCCTAATCGGTGATTTTTCCCTTTACCGGAATCGCATCTACTGTTAATTGAAGATGAAGAAAAAGCAAAGAAAAAGAAAAGGAATATTGTCGATTGAAGATTCATCGAATGCAATTGTTAAACCTTGTTGATTAAGCAAAAGGTGTGACGTGGAAATCGTTTGTCGATCGTGGGATGGTTGTTTAGAATCTTGTAACGACAGTTAGGAGAGAACGTGCGACAAGGACTGACAACCTGCGCTGACCTGTTCCATATATGTAATGGCACATTTCAATTGTGCCACTGTTTCTTCTGCTTTAATGATCTACGTTTGCTCTGTCCATGGGAATTTCTATATTTTTGTGTTAACACCTCCTCCTTCTTCTCATTCTAATCCTTATCCTCATCTTAGCCTACGCGTTCAATTGCACGCGAGCTAATTGCTAATTACAACAATTACTGACTTTTCTCGTCGTCCCATATTAATTAACCGAACCATTATATTAATTAGAGTGTACACGTTTTTTTAACATGCGTTGTAATGAGAAAAAAGCAAAGACGTTTTATTTTCTATATTTGTAGTCTTCTACTTCAAAACGTGATATTTTCATATAAAATGTATTGAAATTGTTACATTTACAAAAAAAAAGAAATGTTAATAATGTTCATTTAAGACGAAAGTTGTAAAGTTTCATAATTCTTGAATGTTTTTGAATGTTTTTATTTATAAAATTTATAATTGGTTTTTAACAATTGCCAACT